TTTAATTCTTCCTGCGGGAGGAGGCCCGTCCCCCCCCCTCCAGGATTTAAATTATTTAAATTATTTAAATTTATTTAAATTATTTAAATTATTTAAATTATTTAAATTATTTAATTCCCGGGCCCGATTTAAATAATTTAAATATGAAGCTCCCGAATTAAATATTCATATTTAAATCGTGGCCTTCATATTTAAATTATTTAATCGGGCCCGGGAATTAAATAATTTAAATAAATTAAATAATTTAAATAATTTAAATAATTTAAATATTTTAAATCCTGGAGGGGGGGGGGGCCGGGCCTCCTCCCGCAGGAGGAATTAAATAATTTAAATATGAAGGCCCCGAATTAATTATTAATATTTAATTCGGGGCCTTCATATTTAAATTATTTAATTCCTCCTGCGGGAGGAGGCCCGGCCCCCCCCCCCTCCAGGATTTAAATTATTTAAATTATTTAAATTATTTAAATTATTTAAATTATTTAAATTATTTAACTTATTTAATTCCCGGGCCCGAATTAAATAATTTAAATAATTATTTAAATTATTTAAATTATTTAATTCCCGGGCCCGATTTAAATAATTTAAATATGAAGGCCACGATTTAAATATGAATATTTAATTCGGGAGCTTCATATTTAAATTATTTAAATCGGGCCCGGGAATTAAATAATTTAAATAATTTAAATAATTTAAGTAATTTAAATAATCTAAATAATTTAAATAATTTAAATAATTTAAATATTTAAAATCCTGGAGGGGGGGGGGCCGGGCCTCCTCCCGCAGGAGGAATTAAATAATTTAAATATGAAGGCCCCGAATTAAATATTAATATTTAATTCGGGGCCTTCATATTTACATTATTTAATTCCTCCTGCGGGAGGAAGCCCGGCCCCCCCCCCTCCAGGATTTAAATTATTTAAATTATTTAAATTATTTAAATTATTTAAATTATTTAATTCCCGGGCCCGATTTAAATAATTTAAATATGAAGGCCACGATTTAAATTTGAATATTTAATTCGGGAGCTTCATATTTAAATTATTTAAATCGGGCCCGGGAATTAAATAATTTAAATAATTTAAATAATTTAAATATTTTAAATCCTGGAGGGGGGGGGGGCCGGGCCTCCTCCCGCAGGAGGAATTAAATAATTTAAATATGAAGGCCCCGAATTAAATATTAATATTTAATTCGGGGCCTTCATATTTAAATTATTTAATTCCTCCTGCGGGAGGAGGCCCGCCCCCCCCCCCCTCCAGGATTTAAATTATTTAAATTATTCAAATTATTTAATTCCCGGGCCCGAATTAAATAATTTAAATATGAAGCTCCAGAATTAAATATTCATATTTAAATCGGGGCCTTCATATTTAATTCAGGCCTGGGACCCCCCCTAGGACCTAAAATAGGGTCTATTTGGAAGTTGGCTCTTGTAAATAAGTATACGTTTTGGGGCCCTGTTTTCCTCTTGTGAACACGAGTGCCAGCTTCCAAATAAACCCTATTTAAGCTGCACACGGGGGGGGGGGTTGGGCATGCACTAGAGCCCTAACAAGGTGGGGGCCAAAGGGGGAGGGCGGGAAGGGTGGGAGGCGCGGGCTTCGCCATGCACTCAGCCGTAAAGGGTGGGGGGCGGGGGGGGCGGGGGCAGCAAGGGCAGCGAGGGGCGGCTTGAGCATGCACTGGAGCCCTTAAAACACTCCATTACGAACAGCAAAGCAGCGAGGGGGGGCGGGGGCTTCGGGCATGCACTAGAGCCCTAACAGGGGCCAAGAATAAGGGCGGGAAGGGTGGGGGGGGCGGGGGGGGCAGGGGCAGCAAGGCCCCCCCCCCCACCTTGTTGTAATGGAGTGTTTTAAGGGCTCCAAGCTGCTGCCCCCGCCCCCCTCCCCCCGCCCCCCCCCACCCTTCCCGCCCTTCCCCTTGGCCCCTATTATGCCCGACCCCGCCCCCCACCCACCCTTCCCGCCCTCCCCCCTTGGCCCCCACCTTGTTAGGGCTCTAGTGCATGCGCGACCCCCCCCCCTCTCTCTTGTTCGTAATGGAGTGTTTTAAGCTCCAGCGCATGCCCAATTTTACGCTCGCTGCCCTTGCTGCCCCCGCCCCCCCCACACCCCCCCACCCTTCCCGCCCCCCCCACCCTCCCACCTCTTGGTGCCTGCCCGATGTTAGCGTGCTTCAATTCTTAGGATGGGGTCGGCGGCATTGGCGGTAGCCATTAAAAAAAAAAATATATATATATATATATATACAAAAATATAGTTGCGCCCCGGCGGGCTCCCCCCTTCTGGCCCGCACCTGCCGGTTTTGCGGCTCCAGCTTCGCAACTTGCAAGAAGTCCTTCCTTCACAGGAAGTCTCAAAATCGTTGCACATCTGCTCTGGGAGATTGCGTCCCCGCCTTGCAGCCTGTAGCAACGGTCGCCTCTCCACCCTCAGGTACGGCAGGGAAAGAACGCACAAAGGTAACTATGTATATGTATCTGTATCTGTATATGTATATGTATATGTAGACATATTTACCATGTTTAGAGTTTAGACACCTGCATGCAAGGGCCCGGTAAGCTGAGGTGCGGAGCCCGCCGTGGCCATCAGCGAGGAGTCGTCGAGCGCCTCCACGCCGAAAGAGTGCCTCTCCGCCAGACGAAGCTCAGAAACACCTCGAAGAATGCAAAGCAACAACTTCCTTGGCGTTGGAGGGCTCCAAAGATAGCACTTCGCTGCAAAGCTCTTCGACCTGAGCCGAGTCTCCAGATCACCCAAGAGCTACGTCCGCCCTTCACAGGCCTCCTCGATGCGAGTCCCCACGCGCAGCAAACTTGCAGCCAAGTTTAGCCGAACCTCAGCCAAGACCCTTCGTGGAACAACAGAAGCAGCCCCGAATTCAAGCATCTGGAGAAATGCTCATCGAGGCAAGGGCGGGTACTTGCAGCTCCTTACACTGGCTAGGCTTTCAGATGCAAAAAAACAACCTGCTTTCAGGGCACCTTCGCAACAGGAGTGTCCAAGTCTGCTTTGATCTTTGCCAGTGCCTGACGGGGAGCAAGACAGCCATACGAGAAGCCTATCAATCTTCGGACGATTTGGACGCACCTTACTCCCCGCAGCAGCTTGACTTGATTGTTCTACGCGCAAGTAGACCCGACCACGTGAGCTGTCCTCTGTGTAGCACTCTGCCGCCGCGGCAAACTGCTGTGCCTTCCGACTCCACGCGTGAGCAGCTTGAAAGACTCAGATGCGCATGGACATTTGCCTCAAAGAGCTTGTTGCCGTTCTCGCGCAAACTGCAGGGTGATGTCTCCTTGCCAGTGGCTTCGACCATAAGGTCGCATGTCTGCCATATCTGCAGGATGTGGCCTGCATGAGCCACCGCGACTCATGGCAGGCTGCAGCACCATCCACTCTCTGCAAATCCAGTGCTGAAACGGGTCAGCAGCAATGCCCTTCGTCGACTGCTGTGCTTGTTGGCAGAAGCATGCGATGCGGCGAGCTCAGATTCTGCCATTTGCTGTATCTGTACGACTACACGCTGGCTGCCCACTGTCAATGCATCGCAAAAAGTGGTCCAAGCAATCTCGACAGTTAGCTCAGAATTCTGCACATAGACGGGACACTGGCAATTCAAGACCTGCTTTTCTGCGCTACTCCTTTCCTCCAGAGCGTACGAAGAGCCTGCGAGAGGAGGATGATGAGGGATGAATAGGCCGAATAGGCATGCATGATAGGCATGTTCAGGCACTAACATGACGCTGATGAGAAAATGACGATTGCAGGTTTGAGCTGCAGCTGAGCGGCAGTCTCTGCAGCTGACCATTGGTCACGACCTCCTGCAGAGCTTCCTCTGTAAGTTCCTGGCAAGCTTGGCAGGTACGTCGGAGGATGCAGGCCTTTCAAGGTCCTTGATGTCATCATCCACGAAAAGGCCCATTGCCTGCGCCGCTGTGACGAATCTTGGCTCACGGATGACCCTTGCTGCCTTGCTCATTGAAGCAGCGAAGCATTGACTGGCCTCGCGGCCTTCCACTCGGTACGTGGCAAGCAGCTGCAATATGAAGTCCGCCTGCAGCAGTCAGTCGACATGCGCATTTTGCATGGATTGCCAGGATTGTTCGAATCAAACACGATTTGTGAAGGATCTGAGGAGACTCTGCGATATTCTGAGGACTCTTGCAGCTTCTGGCCTTGGAGCGGAAGCCCTCTCGCTTGATGCTGCGGACTTCAACGTTTCCGCGGAGCAAGCCTCTCAGCCAAGAAGCTTGATGATCTGAGCGCCTGCTACACGATTTTCAACTCTCACAGTCGTTTCTGCTGGATGAAATCTGGATAAAATCTCGATGACTGGATGGCGCACGGCTCACCCGATGCAGGTACTGTACTCTTTGGCACCCCCCCATTACGAAAACTGGATGGTCTCAAGATCAAACCTTTGAGGTCACACATCTTCACGACTGTGCACCTTTTGTGTGCTTTCATGCATCGTATTTCGACTCTTCCGCTCTCCTCTCCTCGTCTCTTCTTTCTGCGACTTTCTGCCACCCGAGGTGCCTCTTCAAAGTGAGTATCTCAAGAAGCCAATTAAGGGAGGCACTGCAAGGCCCTTGTGCTGATCTCCAGTGAGTTTATATATCGGGCCTGCGGTATCATGGAAAGGTTTGGCCCACTCTGGGGTCCGATGGATAAGCTGGATGAGCTGGATGAGAGTAGGAGTACTTGATAGCTGCGAAGATAGAAGGAAGCTACAGCAGGCACTTTCACCTCACCAGTGCTGCTGTTCGCTGGTCGTATTCGTCGGAAAAGTAGTAGCAACAGCAGAGATGCAGCCACTCTCGCTAAACCGTCCACCATAATATACGGGAATGACGATGCCCACACCTTTCCGACGTTCCTTTCCTTTGCTTCAGGCTCGAGCATGTCTAGGGGTGTGCTGGGGAGCTTGTGTTGGGCAGCCACGACATACCCTGTTCATCTCAGCACACCTTTGTTGGGCTCTTTCTTGCATCAGTCAAGCGCCGCAGAGTCTACGTATACATAAGGTGTGCAGATTGCACCATGCAAGGCTATGCACATCTCAGCGCGGCTGAGCAAACAGGCTACAGAAGCACCTACAAGGGAGCGCAATGGAGCGCAGCTGCAGTTGTCTACGGCCTCTTGCATCAAATACTTTTTCGAAGCAGGTCCTGAGGAAGGACACTTACGTCTGCAAAAGGCTTCGGGCAAACAAAGATGCCTGCGCAGGCGTCCAGGAAATGCTCGCTTCAACTGCCTGTCAAATCGAAGCCTAGCTGCCAGAATTTCCTGTGCCCGGCAATGGTTGTTGGACTGGAGCGCCTTGGCATCTGGCTGCGCAGCAGATATGTTGATTGGCATGAGCATTACACTGGTAGAAGCTCGGCAGCCAGCTTCCAGTAGCTGCTCCTCCAGCTCAATCGTTCGAGGGCTCGCTTTTTGTTCAGTGTCTGGCGGGCACCAGCATTTCGACATGAGAACAAAGCCCAGTCTGTGCCCTGGACCTTCAAGGCTTGCACATGCCGACGGCTTCTTCTCCGATAACTTCTTGGAAGGATCCGGTGCCTCCTCCATCCTTCACATGAAGATGGAACATGCGCAGCAGTCGCACATGGGAACAGATGTGTTAGCAGAACCATGTGCAGTCCTGGGGAAGGAGTATTCCAGGGACGCACACAAGGTTCCGCCAAGCTCCTGGAGAATGGCACGTGGCAAGGCCTGACAGGCAACTTGAAAGATGCAGGAGCCGCAATCAGCTTTTGGCACCTGACAGTTTACGCGTGTTTGGAGTGGCCTGCCTCAAGGGGCTGCCCTCCTGCCGGCAAGCCGCGCAAGTCACACCTCAGAAAGCGCAGGCGGGCCGCCCTCTCAAACTCCGGACATGCTTCCTTGACCACCAAGAACGGCGCAAGCAAGCCCCAGAGCACGGGTCGGTTATGTACAGAACTCCTTCACCGTCTGGAAGCAAGAACCTCATGAACTCATTAGATGCAACGTGGCTACACTGAACGACACTAAACAACTGGCATTGACCTGGTCAAACGCCCAGGCTGGAGGAAGTGCTTCCCATCAGTGCCTGGGTCGGGTCTTCTGCCTCTTTGTCCAAGAAAAGCTTTCAAGCGACATAGAACATGGCCTAGTGAGACGTTCACAGGGCGGGGACTTCGGTTGAAGACCTGGAGGCAGCACAGGATACAAAATGGCTTTGCGGCTCTGTGTGATCAGAAGGTGAGCCAAAGGCAGTCAGGTGGGGCGCTTCTCCCTGGATGAGAGTCGGGCATGGCCTGGTGCAGAAAGGAGTGAAAGGAGTGAAAAAGGAGTCAAATTCAAGCAGGTCCGTCTACGACTCGCCGAGGGGCAATCTGTTCGGAGCGTGTGGAGTGCAGTAGACCTCCCGAAATTCCAACATGTGCAATGTCCCTGTGCTTAAGAGAGCCCCACACTTGATTAAGAGGTCCGACATCTGCTACTGGGTTTTTTAAGTCATGCTTCAGCTGTTCTCAATCTTCAGCGCCTTGGGATTGATCTGCGGGCCCGGACCCACGAAGCCCAAACTTGCCAGGGTGAACGGTTGTGCAATGCTGCGAATGCAAATCGAAGCATCCGGCCTTTGTGGGCCCATTCCGAACCATTCTGGGGCAGCCTTCTCTCCGCCGACGCTGAAGGTGCTGCCGATCACAGTGATGCCATCCTGTCGTGATGCGCCAACAAAGCTGAAACGTTGGCTCCCCGGCCCCCGTGCCTCAGCATAGAGCAGCTCCCTTTGTGGTTCTCCAGACGATGATTGACCCATGGCCACCAGTGACTTTTCTGGATTTGCTATGCAGCCTACATCTGTTTAGTTGCCCTTGCTCGTTCTGTTGCCGGGCTAGAGTTGCAGTATACTTTGCTGACTTGACATGTCCCCTGCTTTGCATCCGCAGCCATCTGAGCCTAAACAACTTGGGCAAGGCATTTTTCGCTGCCAAAAGTGCCCAGACGCAGCTGATGCACGGATGCAGATGAAGGGACCAAGATAAAACAACGGGTTACTGAGCTGCTAACTGCATAGAGTGCTCGCTAACATCCACCTAACATGCAGCCTCCGAGTTAGGATATTGAAGGGGTAGACAGAAAAACGCGATGGTGGTTGCCCCGAGCAATTCGAGTATTTTGACAGCAACAGCTGCAAGTCACAAGAGTTCGCAGACTCTACAGACAAGCATTGGTGTCTTCCGCTCCAAGAAAAAAACAGTGAGCGACACCGACTCGCACCACCTGCCCGCCTGAGAAGTCGGATGCAACGTCAACGACTGCCTCACCCATCTCATCCTCTCACAGATTCGATGCAGAGACAGTGAGGTCGGGAGTGGACGACTGCGACACATCTCCTCCTTCTTTAGATGAGCTCTTATTCCATGCTGTCGAAGGAAGAGCACGATATCCTTCCAAAGATGGATAAAAGAGCAAGATGCACGCGAGATCTTGAAACGCTGGAAACCAACAAGCTGATCATCAAGAGCGGGTCTCAGCAGGTCCTGGCTCCGTGAGTTCCGGGTAACGATGTACACGCTCGGGTGCGCGCCGCAGAGAGCCACCTGACTGGACTGGAGGCGCCTGCAGCTACAACCCATATTGTAAAATCATAAAGAAGGACAAGGGCCATGGCCAAATCAGAGTCGAGCGAATGGTTTCCCAAGAGGGGCGATGCTCCAGCCTGAACGTCACGTCTGTTCTCATCTCTCTTGATCTCTCTTCAAACTCCCTTTCAGCACCTTCGTTGTGCAGAGAGTGCGGTCAAAGTCCAGAAAAATCACATCTGGCTGGCGCTGCACTGCGGTCTGCCACACCTCATCTGAACTGGACGTGCCTTCTGCCACGGTAGAGGTAACGCAACAACAGCTCTCTGCAGCGATCCACATCTTCGCCATCGCCGCGAAGCAAACTGCATTGCTCGCAAGACCACTGCTCGCACACAATGCCTAAGAGCCACAGGAGGCTCAAGATCAAGTGATGGTAAATTCTCGTCATGGCAACGCCAGCAGCTGGCAAGGCACATCGCAGATCATGGGGGCAAAAGCTCCTGCTGCATCGCGCACCGCCGTAGGGGCAACGCCTGGTGAATGTCATTTGTCAGTGCTGCTGCTTCAATGCAACAGCATTTCTGTATCTAGAGCTTCGAGTAGACTTCATCCTCATCCTTCTAAGTCGGAGGCCCTTGAGAGCGGAGCTTTGTCTCACACAAAAGGCATTGCCCTCTGTGAAGCCACAACTTGGACAGCCTGACCTTTGCAGAGTTGATCAGACTTGGGCAGAGTTGAACGCTGCCTCCCGCGGACAGAATTGAGAAATCAAGCAGCAAGCTGAGCAGGTTTGGCAGGCATCCAGCCGCTTCTCCTTCGGAACCACACTTGACAGATCTTGACACACCCTGACACACCCATGATGCAGAGTTGCGCAATGCGCAATGGGGCACCTCCTCGCCCAAACAAGCAGACTTGGGCCAGCCCGTGCAGCTCAGTTCAGACAGCATGGCCTCTGAGCTGCAAAACCATTGCAAACGAAGTGACTTCAAAAGAATGAACGGATGTAAACAGTTGAGATCAGGTGATACAAACTATATCAAAATCTGATAACCATGAAAAATATGCACATCTGCGAAGAGAGGAATCAGAGGACATATGAGGATGGAGATGGAGGGAGCTGCCAGGAAAACGGCCTCACGATACCCGCCCCGGGCTGCACGATGCCTGGTTCACTGGAGTTGCTGTTCCGCATAGGGTTGAGTTCTCGCACTCTTGTTCCCAGCTCCACTTTCGACATGCTGTGCAGTAACAGAGAGATCGCTTGAACTGATAAGCCACCGCTCGAGATGGGAAATGCTACCGATCGCGGAAGGAGGGTCGGGATCTTGCAAAACGCCGTGCAATGCACTCTTGGAAAGGCGGGGACCCTACAAGTGCCTAGAAGCATTGCAGTCGCGGCCTGGCCAACACATCCGGGAAACCTGGGATGCTGAAGCACAACATCATACAACATCCCCTTTGTTGTTGCGTTGGGCAGAGGCTAGGCAGTAAAGGTTGGGCTTTTGGTTATTCAATGACCACAGCTGGCCTCGCGGAACAAAGGCAGTGGCACCACGGGCGCCCGAGACCTGCAGGGAAGGAAGGCAGAAAAGACGAGACGGAACTGATGGAACTACTAGTATGACGGAACCATGAAAGGAGAACATCTTCTTCAGTTGCAGATCGGTATTGAAGGGTCATGTTTGCCACGCGAAAGCTCTGGGCGGCCCACAAACAGCCTCGACGCATCGCTTCCTTAGCTCCCACTCTGCTCCCCTGGGACAAATCCGCCCTTCCCTTGCGCACAGAGGCAGATGTCAAATGGCCGACAGGGCTCGCATGTCTGCTATGGGATCAAGCCAGCGAAGAAGCTCGGACATGACCTGATTTCTTCGTAGCGAAAAACTCACAGGCTCACTCAGCTTCACTCAATTAATTATTCATCTCAACTACACTCAGCTTTACTGAAGGCCCTGGCAGAGAGCATGCCCCGCAGCACAAGCAAGTGACCTGAGGGAAGTTCTCAGAGAACATGCCTGAAACTCTTGGCTGACGATGCTCGGCCACGGCTGCCTTTTGCCTTATTTTGCTTCTTTCTGTTTTGCCTGAAGGCCTATTTTTCATGTGCAGCAAGAGGGGCGTGCGCAGTGCAGGTGGAGCCCCGCAGAGGAGGCCGTGGCACTCCAGTCCTCTGAAGACGGCGGCCCGGCTGTCCTTAAAGGGAGACCAGAGCACACAAATAGGGAGAGCTCCTTCGCACCTGCTTTTGCAACAGAGGCAATCGGCATGCGCCAGACTCCATATTGGCCCTACCTCTTTGCAAAGGGTTAAGAAGCCATGCGGCATTGAGGCAGTGGCAGCATAAGCGTCTGCCTTGCCGAGCAAAGCCTCAGTCTCTGCACAAGCTGTCGGAGAGCGAAAGAGAGGGTTGCA